AAGAAAGCCAACATTGCAAAGTTTTGATCAATGTGATTTTGTGAATAATTTGTTGAAGGATCAGTAAAGCAGGTTTTGGCTTCTGATCTTTTGATGTCTTTACTAAGAAAGTGTGCAATCAGTTGAAGAGATTATTAGGGCTTATAGGGCTTAAAAAGAGCCCAAAACTATGTCAATTCTATTAAAAATTGAAGGGCTTATCCTTTAGGTAGCAACTCCTACCCTTTTCTGCACTTCCCCCACAACCTCGACTCCTTCACACACACACACACACACACACACACACACGTCCACAGAGAAGATCATAAAGACATTTATCCCCAGGGCACCCACTTGAAAGCATCAAGACAAAATACAAACAGCCCTGTGTGGAATACACAAAGGAGGAGAGGAGGAGATACCTTCAGGGGCTGAAAGACCACCACCACACACACACACACACACACACACACACACACTCCTTCCCAGCAATGCAGAAGCACGCTCACCCAACCGAGAACAAAGATGTGTGCAGATGCAGTCACACCGGTATGTTTATCAGCCTAGTGACACATATCATAACGCACTTACACACACTCACTGCGCAAAGGCACTCAGCGAGGTAGAGGCAATGAGAACTGTCTGGATTCTGATGCAGGAGGGACACACGCAGACATACGCACTCCAGGCCTGCGGGCGTGCAGCAATGCAGAAGCATGCTCACCCAACCGAGAACAAAGATGTGTGCAGATGCAGTCACACCGGTATGTTTATCAGCCTAGTGACACATATCATAACGCACTTACACACACTCACTGCGCAAAGGCACTCAGCGAGGTAGAGGCAATGAGAACTGTCTGGATTCTGATGCAGGAGGGACACACGCAGACATACGCACTCCAGGCCTGCGGGCGTGCACACACGTATGTTCACGCGGGGAGGCGGACAGGCAGGTGCTCATCCCGCTCCCAGCAGAGCAGCTCCGCGGCCACCACTGCAGTGGGCTGAACACACGCTGGAGACCCACTATCCCCCAGTGCCCTGCTTTGTCACTGGGCTGCCCAAGCCCAGGGACACAGGGTGGATGGATGGGATCCGCTCAACATGAGCCGCCTGTGGAACTAGATCTGGCCAGGTTCCCGATTCCCACTATTGTCCTCTCTCTCTTTCTTTTACTGAGATGTAATTGATATGGAACATTATATTAGCTTCAGGCATCCAACATAATGATTCAATAGCTATATATTGCAAGTGATGGCCACATAAGTCTGGTAAACATCCATCACCTAGTTATACAATTTTTTCCTTGTGATGCCAACATTCATGACTTATTCCCTTAACCCACCGTTGTCCTCACATATCCACCCTCCCCCACTACATCCACCCCTGCCCAACCAGATACGGACACACCAGCAAGACAGACCCCAGAAGCTCCCAAGCCCTGGCCTTCCCACTCCCCCACCTCCACTGGGGACCTCAAGGGTCACCTCCTGCAGCCTCTCTAAGACGGCGACCTCCTCTGTCCCCCGCCCCCCCCCCACAGGGGTGAGTCTGGTCGCCTCGAACACTGACCGTTAGCACACAGTCCCATCCACCCAGGAAACCCGCACCTGGAAGCCTCTCCTGGAGAAACCTTTGCACCAGTACAGAAATTGGCACGGTGAGGTTACTCACCGCAGCATCATTTACAACAGCATCCAGACAAAGCATGGGCCACCAGGCCTCCATCCCACCCTGCAAGCGCTGTTCACAGGCCCCGCCCAGCCATACAATGCAATATGACTCGGTCATTTAAAACGTATGTTTATTACTATTCAATTACAGAGTGATTGAGGAGACCCGTGTCAGGGTCACCCCTAGTCCACAGGTGCCTGGTTCGGGAGGCCCATGGGCACTACATTCGGACCACTAGCCTTGCACTCCCCCACCAGCGGGCAGAGCTGCCGTTACCCTAGGGCCATTGTGCCCAGGCTCTCTGCCCATCCGTGCCTCCCTCCCTCTCTCCCTCTGCCCCTCCAAGCTGCCCTCAGCCCCTCCAAGCTAAATTGGGGGACAAACAAGCACCCAAAGCAGTGAAAGAAAAAGAGCCACAGGCAGGCTCCATGAAAGGGGAGCCCGTCATAGCCCCCTGCTGCTCTGCCTGGTTAGGGCCCACTCAGAGATGCTGAAGGCGGCCTCCGTACCCCGCAAGAGATGTTCTGAGAAGCCCAGTGGCCATGGGGATGCTGGCCCAGCCTCTGCCCTGTGGTTCAGGAAAAGCTACCCGGGCTGGGCAGTCCCTGGCCAGCACCTCTGGGTGCCAGCTGTGTACAGGGCTCTCCCATCCCTGCTGTCACAGGCTGCCTCTGGATGACCTGGCACAAGCAGTCCCCGGAGGCTTGGTCACCG